TCAGTGCTCGTTTGCAGGACTCCATTTTTAAAGACCAATGGGATGGCATTATTATATTCTATCTTTAAAAACATTTTGTTTTGGTATTTGGAATCGCTTTATTTCATCACATGAAATACATCCCCTGTGAGGAAGTGTGAGAAACTCTGCGATCTGCTTGGATGAAAGCTTTTCTGTTTTTACTGCGTCTTATTGGTGGATAAACTGTGTTTTTCTTGTTGTTAATTGCACTGGATATCTTTAAATTGTGCATTTACCACCAGCAGATTATTTGCTCTCATTCTCTCGCTCGCTCTTCATATCTGTTCAATTTACCTGATTAACATCTGGTCATTTCTTTCAGTCTGACATCGTATTTGGAGAGCTGTAAACTTCAGGTAACACAACAGATAGTCTGCACCTCCTGGTTTACTTCACTCACTGACCATTCATCACACCCACAGATAAACTAGGTCAACCAAATGAGTACTTCTTTTTGAAAAGTACATTCGGTAATTACCAAGTATATTAACTTTTCAGTTAATTTAGTATGACCTGACTGTTTTACTAATTATACAGTACATTTAAGGATATAAATTATGGTTTTAATGGGGAAGCATCATACAAAAGTTACATTATGTGCGTGGGTGGTGGTGGTCTGTGTGTGTGTGTATATGTGTGTGTATGAGCAGCAGTGTGTGTAGGCGCGGGTGTGTTTGGTGTACCATTTTACTTGTGTCAGCAACATGTTCTGAGTTGATGCATTTAAAGCATCTGTTGTGTTTTGGGGATGAATATTTCTGTGAGCTTTACTCTATGTGACTCGTGTCTCTGAAGCTCTGTGTCTTCTGTCTGTGTGGAGAACTATTGGGGAAAAAACATCTCTGGGGGTTGCTACCCCTCCTTGCTTAAATGACATTCACTCATTCCGTATTATCTTATAAGTTTTTAAAATTGGAGAGTGAGGTTAGGCTGTTCACCCCCATCAATTGAATTTGACCGAATCGCGTTCTGCTTAGGGAATAAGAGTTGTCCCCACAGACAAGCCCCACCCAACCCAACCCCCCCCACCGGAAACATCTTTTCAGCCCCAAATTGTTAAAAGACAATGTGTAACAGTGAGGCAGCAATCTTGATCATATCTTAGAGACAATTATCTCCCCCCAACCTCACCCTCTCAGCCCTCACGCCTAGCTCAGGTGCAAGCCTTGGATTGCCTTGGGATGTCCTTCTGATATGAAAGGTACTGTATAAATGCAACCTTACATTGCATTCGATTGGCTTTCTGGATCATTAGTGAGTGTAAGCCATGGTGATTTGTTACTGGCTGTATAGCATGTGGTTGCTTTGAAATATTCAGATAAAATTGGAAGTAGCTCTCAGACTGATGGGGGAGGGAGGGAGGGATTCATGAGTTTCAGAATGACAGTTTAGTTCACGAGAAAGACAACTGACCTCAAACTATTATTACTGTGGGTGTGAAGAAATATTAATTTTACTTGCTCAGTGGATGTGTGCTTTTGAGTAGGTTAATTAACAAATTAAATCCAGCTCCAGTCAGGTTGCGGTTGGGGTGTATTTACAGTGATGTGGCACCAGAGTCGGTGCAGATTTACCAGTGTCTAATGATGTGCAAGTCCCAAGTGTTTGCACATTCAACTGACATGGGTTTCTATGTAGATGTACTCTGGAACATGTCACACAAAGTAAGTTGCTAACTGATTAGTGCCTTTTAGCTCACAGTCCAGATTGATATTCCAGTACAGCGCTGGGGATTGCTGCATTGTCAGAGGGGCCGCTCTTCATATAGATGAGATGTTAAAAATGAGCTCCTACCTGCCTGTTCGCAAGGGAGTGCTAAATATCCCACAGCACAAGAGAAGGCAGTTTTTTCCAGTGTCTTGGCCACAAATCCCCCACATTAAATTATTTGTTCACTTCATGGCTGATTGTGGGACCTTGCTGTGTGCAAATTGGTTGGCTGCTGTGTTTGCCTACAAAACACAGACCTGTACACTGAACAGTAAAATCTGGTGTCATATCACATTTCTCTTTTATTGCTCGTTGGGACTTTCCTTTCTGACTCAGTTCATGTTGGTTGTGGCTGATAACTGCTCACTTTCACTATTAATTCTTCTTTGTGCCCTCAGATTTACTTTTTCCACACAACACTGGGTTTTCCGAACAATATAGTTTTAGATTACAATTTAGTGCTTTTTAAAAATATTTAAATATATTCACCGAGGGTGCCACCTAAACAAGCATGTATGTTGCCTTTTCAAAGCTGCACCCCCTGTAAACCCCCCCCCCCCCATTTTTCTCTCCCCCCTTCCAGTTGAACACATATGCACTGTTTAAAGAATGAAAGCTCTCGTTATTGCAGATACAGCCAATAACACATGGTTCCTGCTTTTCAAACACAATTGTGTGACTAGATTAAAACAATGCCTATTTTATACTAATCTTTTTGAGACAAGATTTACTTGATAACTAAATGTAGGTTCCCAGTTATTGAAAAGTTAAGTGTGCATTTGGCCGTGGGATCTGATGATCTTATTTTGAGACTAATGATATTGACCTCACTACACACTGCAGCAGAGTGGTCAGATTTAGTACTTCAGTAACTAGTGTCTAAGCTCATCCTAACAATGACAGATTTTTATTTTGCCCACAAAATACAGTCAATCCATTTTACAGTATATTCTGCAAAGCGCTTTGAGACATCTCAGCGATGTGATATGGCGCAAGGATTACTATTATCATTCTGAGCATCAGCTTCCGTTTTCTAATTGTTTTATTGTTAATTCATGCTGCCCTGCCTGTGGTGGATTTTAAGGTAAGAAGCAACACTTTTTTTTAAAACTGCAATGATTGGTATGAGGCAGTTATTATTATTAAGGAAGAGGCTCTGTTAGAACGCTAAATCTCTTGGCCATTTCCCAGCCCAAGCATCGATTATATTTTGGCAATTTTCTCATGAAATCTATTTTAGAAATGAAAAATCAAGGGCGCTAGCAAACATAATCCTCCTGGATCTCACTGTTGTGGTGCTGCTTTTATTATACACTTCAACTTCCTATTGCTGATGAGCATGAGTGATATTGCTGTGCTACCTGTATGAGTGCACGTGGGCGAAAGAAACTAGACAGGGTGCCAGGTTCCATTGCCTCTGCTCTTGGCACTACCCACTGTGGTGGCCACAAGAAAACAAGGGGCTGCTCGAACCTGACCTCAGCTTGTGCAAACTTGCTCGCTTTATTGTGGGAGACAGGTGCTGAATTGTAGGTTGATCAGGCTTGTGTTTGAAATCATGGATGAAAGGATTGATTCTTTCAACATTCTGTCAACACAATCCTGAGCAATCGTCTTGTTAGATTACTGTTGATTACAGCTTCTGCATTGGCACTGTAATTGAAGCCGAACTGCATTGAGTTTTGGTGCGCTGTTCAGCCCTCCCCGATTACCTGTGCACGGAGCTTCCTTGTAGATAAATTCAACTTGAAAAATTACTGAATGCAGCAGCTGGAGCCCTGTATTAAATAGCCATGTTTGCGACAATCCAACACTGTACGTTTGAATTGGGAGTCTCGGCTTGCCCATTGCTTAGACTGACAGCCCGACACTGAGCACGGCTATTTCTGGAAATATCAAAAGAATTAAAATGAAATGTAAATAGAAATATTGCCCACAGATCTGTATTTTTTTCCCCTTCCCACTTCCATGGCATTTCATTTCTTTCTCTTTTAAGTATTTTGGCTGAAATAACATTATTGGCAACACAACGCATTGGTTACCTCCCACCACTTTACGACAGATTGCTTAAAAAAAAGATTGCTTAAAAAAAAAGCAGATTCAGGTTTTGTAAACATTAGGCCAGAAGTGTCTCTGAAGAGGTTCAGTTAATCAGGTAATTATAGCTATTGTATGTTTTGCTTGATTGTTCCCTTTCTTGACGTCACTCTGGATCTGCTAAAATGAAAATGAGGGTCCACGTGATGGATGGGATTATAAAAGATATTTGGGTGTCAATCTGGCTCAGTTGGTAATCCTTACATGTGACATAATGATGTCAGGAGGATGTCTCAAAAGTGCTTTGTGGATGAAAATGGCTGTTTGAGCACATTGCTGTGAGTAAATTGACTGCCATTTTCATCTACAACGCACTTTGAGACATCCTCCCGACGTCACTGTATCACATGTAAGGATTATTGATTATTTGGGCAATACTAACGTGCATATCTTGCTCTTTGCTCACCTGGTTGTATCTGCGGTTGGGCAAGGGGGCAGTCATTGGGGACGACTGAGAATCCTACAAAGTGTAATTTCCTATGTTTGCTCCATTTCATCACATTGATCACGAATTATAGCTGCGTTTTGGTAGCATTCAGGTTAGTTGTTGGGTTTTTAATGATTGACATTTTAGAGGTTGAGGACAAAGTCCTCACAAAATTTGGACGATTCTGTTCCCAGACATCAACAAGTGGCATTAACTGAGCAAGTCGTGAACGTGGAAAGAGAAAAGACACATCTTTGCAATCGTTAGTTAAATGAGTATTAAACCGGCTCCTTTTCTCAAGCTTGCTTTTGACCAGTTATATTTGGAGTGGAGTCCTGTAGCTCAGTGGTTAGAGCACTTGCCTTGCAAGCGAGACCTCAGTTCAATTCCAGGCAGAGGGCGAAACCTTGGGCAAGTTTCCTTACTCCACACAGAGCCTAATAATAATCCCTCCAAAACAAAACAATAATAAATTGGTCATTTTCAATCCACAACTGTTTGTGCGCAATTGGCTGCCTCGTTTCGCCCACAAATATACGGTCAATTCACTTTACAGTCTATTCTGTGAAGCGCTTTGAGACGTCGAGAAGACGTGAAAAGTGCTATATCAAATGCAAGGATTATTTTTATTATTTGTGGCAAGAAAATGTATTTCAGCAGTTGCTCCACGATCCTGTATCCATCACTGAAGCTGAGCAAACAGTGAGCTGACCGCAGATATATCATTGTGTTTTTCCTGTTCCAGACGCTGTGGAAGACCAAGGATGAAAAGACATAGAACTTCAACTAAGTTTTCATCCACCGCATCAACCAACCGAAGCTATCCCAATCAGTGGCGGAGTCGGATGCTGTGAATGAAACTGACTAAATATGTAGCATGATGAACACTAGAGTAGGGAGGTAAACAAAATTGCTTATTTATGTTGTAAATTTGGGGAAATGGATTTATTTGTTCTGACAGTACAGTGCCTTGCTCACCTTTCTGAGGTCAAGTTTAATAAAACTGGTTAACATTATTTCAGTGTATAATAATAATAAAATGCAGTGTTGTTCCACCTGATTGTTATCCTTCTGATTTTACAAAACCCTAGAGATGAGAATCCAGGTGTTTTCTTGCAGGGTCAAAACAGACAATTGTATGTTATTTCCAAAAGTGCAAGTGACCAGTTTGGGAGAACTTTGCCATTAAGTTTCCTTAAACCTGAAGAGAGAGCTCTCCATTCATCACTTCCCCACATTGAGTGGTAGGGGGTAGTGAAGCGTGTGACCTATCTCACACACACACACTTTAAACTTCACTCTCCAACTAATCACACAGTTCTGCTTATACTCCAGTGTTGGTGTACACTGAACCGGAAGTTTCAGAGCAGTTGTTTTTTTATACACAGTTTATGGTTTCTTTTCTACAAAATTAATTTTAAACTCTAAAATCTATAAGTCTAAAAGGCAAAATAGTTGCTGTGTGTCACGTCAATCTGTCCAGCTGCTGGCAAGCAAACATTGCTGCAGTCAATTCAGTAATCGGGGATATTTAGACAATACAGGAGGTTTCAGCAGCTGGTCCTCCACTGATTTGAGGTAAATTGGTCAGTTTTTGTAAAGGTTCTTGCAGTGGGACGGAGAGGCTTTTCTTGAACTCCCGCTATGCATTCTTCTCGATGTGGGAGTCTTGAGTCGCACAGTATTGCTGGATTCCTGTTGAGAGAGAAAGTTTATTTTCAGTGCATGGTGTATGCTTGAAGTAGATCTAAACACTCAATGATGGCCAGTATTCCTAAGTGAATATTTCTTAAGTTTAATTTTAGAGCACAGACTATCCCAGAACAATTTCCCTATCTCTTGCTGGTAACTGGCTCCAGACGCTGTGGAAGACCAAGGATGAGTCAGCCCGGCTCCGTGATAGCACTCTGCCTCTGAGACAGAAGATTGTGGGTACTTGGAATTATGGGTTCTAAATTGACACTCCAATGCCTCACTGGGTGGGGGGATTGTATTGTTGAAGTTGCCATCCTTAGGAAGAGATCCCACCTGGTGGATGTTAAAGATCCCACAGCACTATTCGAAAAGCAAAGGAAGTTTCTCCTGGTGTCCTGGCCAACAATCCCCCCCCCAAAAAAGTGAACACTGTTATATGCAATTGACTGCTGAATTTTGCCCACAAATTACAGAGTTAATACACTCTACAACATATTCTGTGAAGCAGTTTGAGATGTCCCAACGATGTGATGAGGCGCTTATATCTTTATTCTGCCTCGTCAACTAGAGGTAGAATCATGGGCTGAGTTTGTTGCAAAAGTGTAAAGCTTTCTGCATCGCTTCCATTTCCAATCAATAACGCTTCTTAAAAGTCATTTTTTTTCCTTCTGCAAAACATGTTGCTACTTGCCTCCATTGTCATTCCCTGGCTACAAGGTCTAGGCTGATGCTCAGTGCAATGCGGAGGGAGGACTACATGGTCAAAGATCCCATCCATTAGATCAGATGTCAAACCAAGGTCTTGTCTGTGCTTGTTCAGTTGGACATTAAACAATTAAAGACCTCATCGCACCTTAGAAAAGTGGAGGGAGTTTCTACTGGTCTCCTGCCAATCAATTCCCCCATATAAAATCGGTCTCTCAATGCATGCCTGTTTGGGGCACACTGCTGTGTGCAAATTGGCTATAAGTACAATTACTATACTTGGAAAAAAATAATAATTTTTTCACTTAATCCACAACTGTTTGTGGGACGCTGCTATGTGTAATTGGCTGACGCGTTTCACCCACCAAACATAGTCAATTCAATTTACAGTATATTCTGTGAAGCGCTTTGAGACGTCTAGAAGATGTGATAAGGTGCAATATCAAACGCAAGGATTATTATTATTTACAGTAAATCAGTTGAGATGGCCTCCTGACGTGAAAGGTGTCATATCAAATGCAAAGACTATTTATATTAAGTTATAAAACCTTTGATGACGATGTTTGTATCAGGCTGATGCTGAGTTGCTTGGTACCTTGCATATCCATTATGAGCAATAAATACTCTTGATACCATGTTCAACAACAACATAGTGCAGGGTAGCGTCTCGGAGCGCTTATTAGTGGTGGAGCCTGACACTGAGCCGCTGGGGAAGATTATCGTAAGCATGGTCAAAGTCGAAGGTCTTCAGGCATGATCCGTAAATAAGGAAGGAGGGGGCAAGGCATTCATCTTCATGTCTTTCAGACTGTTTGTGGGAACCTGCTGTGCGCAATTAACTGTCGTGTTTCGCCTACAAACTATACAGTCACCCCACTTTACAATATATTCTGTGAAGCGCTTTGAGACGTATCGTTGACATGATGAGGTGCTATATCAATTGGAAGTATTATTATTACTATTATTATTAAAGTGTAAATGGAAATTGTGACTTACAGATAGTTCAAACTAACCTCAAACCAATGGCATTTGACACTTTCAAGAAAGCTGATGCGAATGCGCGAGATCCTATGTCCTTACACATGACTTATGATATTTTACTAAAAAGAAAATTACTCACGGTGAAAGATATCCTTGAGGGCAAGAGTTGCAGGAGAATCGGGCACTTCTGTCAGGAATGATTTACCTTCATCACAACTTTTTCCTTTGAAATAAATCAAAAGGGAAAAAGCATAAATGATAATAATAACAATAATGACACACAATTCTAACACGTGGAATCTACGGCATCAAAATTGATCCAAATGAGCCTCTACCTGGCCACGAGTTACATCAATAATAATAATAATAATCCTTGCATTTGATATAGCGTTTCCACGTCTTTCAGATGTCTCAAAGCACTTCACAGAATGTACTGTAAAGTGAATTGACTGTATATTTGTGGGTGAAACAATGGACAACACAGGGTTAGTTAGCACTGTGAAAGGCAATTTCAGGACAGATACTGGGAAGGTTTTCTTTACTCAGAGAGAAATCAACAACTTGGACAGGTTGACAATAAGATTGGGAGAGGCCAGGACAACCTGGGACCCACTTTAACAAAACAGCCTGATGCTATGATTGGGGGTGGGTGGTGGGGGACAGAAAGGTGGGCGTTCTGGAAAGGTGAGACTGAATGGGCCGAAGGGCCTTTTCATCCAATTCCAATCAATATTCAGAGATCAATTGTGTGTGATCAAAACATTGATCTTCTGCAGAGGAGAAAAGTATATATTTTCCAACCATTTTTACTAAAGGGTCTCAAGAGTGTCTGAGAATTTTCCATTTCTTTCCCCAACACCCAGTAAGCAAAAGTCTTCACCGGTACAAGTATATGTATGTTCAGGGTGACGAATAACAGGAAGTCATGGCCAGAGCTGTTTGCACAAGTTTTACAAATACAGCCTTTTAAAACCCCTCATTGTGTGTTTTGGACAATCCGCTGAGCTGTGTAACCTTGTTGTGTTGTGGAACGTACCTATCCTGGGATCCAAGGGCACTTTCCCGAGAAAGGGAATGTTTAAATCATTGCACATCTTCATGGCACCTCCTGTGGTTGGTGGGAAAATCTGCGATTCATGCTGCAACAACGCAAAAATTGTGGAATTAGGAACAGAAAATTACGTCCAAATCATCGTCACACAGCAGACAAGAAATTAATGGCTACAATTGTTAAAATGTATTAATTGTTCATCATTAACACTTAGAACTACTTAACAGATTTTAGAATATAGAAGGGGAAAGGGGGAGCAAGACCATGGAGGGGTTTGAAAGTGAGGACCAGGATCTTGAACTGTATCCTCTGTGTGATGGGAAGCCAGTGGAGTCGGGCGAGGATGGGGGTTCTGGATGATCTGCAGCCTGTGGAGGGAAGAGATGGGGAGGTCGACAAGCAAGGAGTTTGCATAGTCAAGCCTGGATGTGATGAAGACGTGTATGAGGGTTTCGGCGGCCTGCGGTGTGAGACAGTGGCGGAGCCGGGCAATGTTGCGGAGGTGGAGGAAGGCAGAGCGGGTCATGGCGAAAGGACAGTTGAGGGTCAAACAAGACCCCAAGGTTCCGGACTGGGTTAGTAAGGTGGAGTATGCAACTAGTCATATGGATGGTGATGCTATCAGTGCCTGAGGTGAGGTGACGCTGAAGGGAGCTAATCAGGAGAGCCGCGGTCTTGCTGAAGAAAGTTAGCTCTCATCCAGGACCTGATGTCTGACAGACATTCTGTCAGACAGCAGTGGTCCTGGAGTCAAGGGTGGAGGCAGAGAGGTAGAGTTGTGTGTCATCTGCATACATGTGGAAGTTGACCCCATGTCTACGGATAATGTCACCAAGAGGGAGCATATAGATGTTGAAGAGGAGGGGACCAAGGACAGAGCCCTGAGGAATGCAGCACGAGACAGTGCGGGGACTAGAGGAGAAACCGTCTGTGGAGATGGAAGTGGAGGCGGTGTGAGAGGTACAATCTGAACCAGTCAAGGACAGTGCCGTGAAGGTTGAGGTAAGAGAGGCGGTGGATGAGGATAGAGTGGTCAACAGTGTCGAAGGCAGCAGAGAGGTCAAGGAGGTTGAGGAGATAGGGAGCCCTGGTCGCAGATGGACAGAATGTCATTTGTCACTTTGTCCCGGGCGGTTTCTGTGTTGTGGGCAGAACGGAAACCCGATTGGAGGGGTTAAAATCTCTGACAATGCAGCACACCCCCAGCACTGCATTGGAGTGTCTTCTGACTCAGAGGAGAGCGCGCGCTACCAACTGAGCCAGGCTGCCACGTGCAGCCACTCCAAGCAGTGCGAGCAAGAGAGAGGAGGAAACAAATGTGAGGGGCAGTGAGCAAGAGGGTCAGGGGTCCAGATTGGGGAGGGTGGAGTTTGTGAAGGGAGGGGCGGGTGAGGAAGGAGTAAAGCTGGGAAGCAACGACTCGTTCCAGGACCTTGGAGAGGAAAGGGAGGTTGGAGATGGGGCAGTAGTTTGAGAGCAGGAATGGGTCCAGGGGGGGATTTTAAGGATGGGAGTGATGACGGCTGTTTTTAAAGGGGTGGAAACAGTACCAGTGTACAGGGAGAGGTTTATGATGTCTGTGAGTAAGTGCACTGAGACCCAGAAAAGGAAAGAAAACAGTATACTAAAAAAAAAGCATCTTTAAAAAAAACTTCGATATGATGAAGGATTGAATATAGATTTGAGGAGAGAGAAATATCTGGAGTTTGTTTGTTTACCTTCGGGACTAAAGGAGCATACATGTAGAACTTTCTTGGGGAGACAGAATGGGTGAGCGAAGTCTATGAAAGAAAGAGTTTGTGTGTCTGGAGGGAGCAAGGCTGAAGGGTTGATGGCCTTTTCGTATTCCATGCAGGATGTATTTTTAAACATAATAGTCCCATGTGATTCCAGTATTACTGTATGATTTATGCTCTACACGGGCACAAGCATCTAAGTCCTTGTGAATGAATTTCCCTGTCTGACTGAAACGTCTCACCTGGCACTTTGGGCACACAAAACCACTCATATTTTCTACAACTCCTATAATAGGCAGCTTGACCTTCCTGCAGAAGTTGATTTCCTTTCTGACGTCCTGTAGTGACACTTCCTAGCACAGGGCGAGAAGAAAATTCACAACATAATGAAGTGTGCTTTACTATTAACGCAATTAAATAAGAATTGATTTTCCAGACTTTAAAAAAAAACCATTTCCCATCGTATTTATCCACAAATACATCAGCAATTCTTTCTGAATTTGGTTTCCGATGGCTCGTGAGTGACACGATCTGCCGTGAGGGTGTAAAGCCCCTCAACCAGGCAATCAGAGGAGTGAGGCTCCAGTCAACCCCTTTTAACACAGCAATGACCTTCTTCCCAAGGTGTGTCACTTGTGACCTTGGTGGCTTTACCTTCCTTTCCCCACCCCGCCCCATTGGTGGTGAAATGACTTTATTTGTATCATGCTTTCCGCTTACATACTATGCTCCATATTTGTACTAACTAAATCAGGCTTTGCTAACCCAATATTCACCAAAAATAATTCAATCTGTTGCAGATTATTATTGCTTGCTGGCAGAGCACAGACTGGGCATTACCCGCTCTTCATGGCTCAATGAGTTAATGCTAAACGGCCGGAGAAGGTCCTTCACATCAGGAAACCTCCCTCCCGTGGTCTGGTAACAGTTGATAATACTCTTATGTATTCCTCCTCCCTGAGCCAAGGTTCGTACCTGTGGAGTGGTAATGATCACAGCTCCGTCTACATGTGTTGCGCTCAGGTATTGTACCACAGAAAGGTGCTCATCAGAGGTACCAGGAGGAGTGTCCACAATCAAGTAGTCCAGCTCACCCCAGTCCACGTCTCGCAGAAACTGCTTAATTAAACCTAAAGGATTCAGTCAACAAACACCGTGAGTGACACGATCTGCCTAACTCCAAGCAAACTAATGATCGTCTCGGCAATGCCGTGTGAGAGGCACCGCTGGTTGCTGTACGGACACGTTCACAACCAATCCCAACAACATCGACAACTTGCATTTATATAGCACTCTTCACGCTGTCATGGCTTGATCTCCCCCACCCATGGCTCGGTCACATTCTCAGGCTCTGGCAAAATATTACTGATAATAAACTCGGTAGTTCAACCTTTCCATATTTTATGTTCTCTGCAGTTCCCTCAGTCGTGCTTTCTGTTATGCTTCTATTTTGGAACAAAATGAAGGCAGAACTAGATTCAACAAAACCTTACTGTGAACAACTGGGAACCACGCCTTTGGAAGGACCTGCTGGCTGGCACCCTGTGACTGACTGTATGTTCACCAGAACGATACCTGGACTCAAGGGACTTAGTTACAAGGACAGAATGGACTCTTTCGTATAGTTACGGAATCCAGACTGCATCGTCTCAACATTACAGCTCAACCCGTTAGTGGTGAAATCAGAAGATATTTATTTTACATAAAATTTTACAGGATCGAAACAGGTCATTCGGCCCAACCAGTCCTTGCCAGTTTATACTCTATAGGAGCTTCACCTATTCCCCTCTCTCATGTACTCTTACATACGCTCTCTGCTTCCACCACAGCTTCTGGCAGTGAGTTCCACATATCCTCTTCTGGTTAAATCGGAACTTCCTTCTAAACTTCCTGTGAGATCTCCTGCATCTTTCTCCTAGTTAAATATAGCATCTTCCAAGATCTTATATTTGTTCTTCCTTGTTTTGGACTCACCAACAAGTGGAAAAAGCCTATGATTGAATCCTTTCATTATTTTAAAACACCTTTTATCAGGTGCCCCCCACTCTGCACTCTACTTTCTATCCCCCCTTTCCTGACGCTGACTGTCCCACAATAACGCTGTTGATACATCAGCCAGTCTTCACGTGCAAGTCACAGCACAAGGTGTAAAGGGTAAAAGATCAATGAAAGAAAACAAACCATTTTTCTTGGGTCCTCTCCAGATCACGGCATCATCTGGGCTGCTGAGCAAAAAGCCGATAGACATGACACCCAGGTTCTCTTCTACATACTGCAAGATGAGATTACATCACGTGAGCTCAAACCAGCCTCAATACTGAGCAAACTCTCACTGTTCTCTGTACACTTCGCACAGAACTTTCTGAGAAATGCCTCATTATTCAGATCATTGACTTGCTCCTAAAAGCATTACTCTATTATAGTTCCTGATAGTTCCTCATTAGTGGTGTGGATTCGCAACACACAGGGTTATAGATCTCACGATAAAGCTATTAAGAGTCAATACAACTGGTGGAGCGTCGCAGATGGAGTGAGCTCTATGGAGACGCTCTCTAAGAACAGGTACTATTCACAACGTCTGCCTCTCTCCTATCAATAGAATCAGTCGGTGGTGGATTGGCTCCTTGAAACAGCTCAGGATTGCAGGGTAAAATGGGGCTGGGATTTGTGCACAAAGCCAGCACGGGGCAGTGAGCCTCACGAGACAGCAGGAGCGCTGGGGGAACTTCCTGATTTCCCACATCCTGAGTCCTCCCCGCAGTCAGCACAGATTTTGCTGAAACAGATTTTCAAAGTTTATTTCATTCAGCTACGCTTCAGATTTTGTTGAATATTTGGCCTTCTTAAAGAAGCCAAAGAGAGAGATTTACAATGATCAAGAAATGATCAACCGCGTCTTATAGATTCATAGAAGGTACAGCTCAGAAATAGGCCATTCAACCCATCCAGTCCAGTCGGTGTTTATACTTCACACAAGCTCATCCTAGATCACATCCCACGTCTTATATTCCAGCCTTTCCCCATAGCCCTCAACTTTATTCTCTCTTAGCCATGTGTCCAGTCTCTTTCTGAATGTGTACACGGTTGTCGCCCCAACACCAGTTCTTTGGCAGAGAATTCAACACTCCCCCCACCCCCACCACCCGCTCTCTGTGTGAGAAGGTTCCTCCTAATCTTCGTTCTGGACCTCCCAGTTCTGATATTAGAATACATTAGAGTATACAGCACAGAAACAGGCTATTCGGCCCAATTGCTGTGTTTATGCTCCACAGCAGCATCCTCCTACCCTTCCTCAACTAAGCCTTCAAGCAAAACCTTCTCTGTGCAGCGCCTTGGGACGTCCTCCTGACGTGAAAGGCGCTTTATAAATGGAATCTTGTTGTTGTTGTTGTTGTTGTATTCCTTTCTCCCTCATGTACCTATCCAGCTTCCCCTTAAATACATCTATGCTATTTGCCTCAACAACTCCTTGTGGTAGCGTGTTCCACATTCCCACTACTCTCTGTGTGAAGAAATTTCTTCTAATTTCCCTATTTCATTTATTTGTGACTATTTTGTATTGATGGCCCCTGATTTTGGTCTCCGCCACAAGTGGAAACATCTTCCTGATGTCTACCCCATCAAAACCTTTCATAATTTTAAAGATCTCTCTCAGGTCACCCTCACCCTCCTCTTTTCAAGAGAAAAGCCCAAACATGTTCAGCCTTTCCTAATAGACATAACCTCTCAGATCTGGGATCATCCTTATGAATCTCCTTTACACCCTCTCCAGTGCCTCTACATCCCTTCTATAACATGGGAACCAGAACTGCACACAGTATTCTAGGTGTGGTCAACTGAGGTTCTATAGAAGTTCACCATAACTTTCCTGCTTTTCATTTCTATCCCTCTTAGAAATGAACCCCAATGCCTGGTTTGCCTTTTATGGCCTTATTAACCTGTGTTGCTACTTTTAGTGAATTGTGTATGTGTGCCCCGAGATCCCTTTGCTCCTCTACCCCATTTAGGTTTTTATTTTCCAGGATGTATGTGACTTTCTTATTCCTTCTGTACTTTTCTACATTGAAATGCAATTGCCATTTAAGTGCCCATTCAGCAAGTTTATTAATGTCTTGCTGTCATTTGTTGCCTTCCTCCTCTGTATTAACTACTCCACCCAATTTGGTGTCGTCTGCAAATTTTGAAATTGTACTGCTGATTCCTGAGTCCAAATCATTAACAGTGGTCCCAATACCGATCCTTGTGGAACACCACTGCCCACCCCCTGCCAGTCTGAGTAGCTCCCCTTTAACCCTACTCTCTGTTTTCTGTTTTGCAGCAGGTTGCTATTCCTTCTGCTATTTTTCCCCGACTCCACGTGCTCCGACCTTATTCATTAGTCTATTATGTGGTACCTTATCGAACGCCTTTTGGAAATCTACATATATTACATTTACCGCATTCCCCTTGTCGACTCTCTCTGTTACCCCTTCAAAGAATTCAATGAGGTTGGTCAAGCATGACCTTCCTTTTTGAAATCCGTGCTGACTATTCTTTATTATGTTTTCCATTTCTAGATTTATTTTATTACTTCCTTCAGTAAGGATTCCATTACCTTTCCTACCACCTGACAGGTCTATAGTTAAGCTAACGGGTCTATAGTTCCCTGTTCTATCTCCCTTTTTAAATATAGGTATAACATGAGCTACCCTCCAGTCCTCTGGCACTACTCCCTTTTCTAATGAGTTATTATATATGTATAGTGCCTGTTATCTCTTCCCTCGATTCTTTTAATATACGCAGAGACAGTCCATCTGGACCAGGGGTTTTATCCTCTCTTGAGTTTCGTTAGTTTTTCGATTATATCTCTCCTTTCTACCTTAAATGTATTTATATTATTTTTGTTCTCTTCTTCTACAGTTATGTCCATCTGATCGGTCTCCCTGATGAATTCTGAGGCAAAGTAATTATTTAATATTTCTTCCATTTCGCTGTTGTGGCCTGTGAGCTTATCTTGTCCATCCCTTAGTGGCCCTATTCCTATTTTGATTTTTCTTCGGTTATTTATATGTCTGTAGAATTCCTCTTTGCCTTCCTAATTATTTTTTGACCGTTTCCCTGACCTCTTCGTATTCTTTTTTGTCATGCTCTCCCTTGTTGTTTACGTACTTAGTGAACGCCTCTTTCATGAGTCTCAACTTTGCCCTTATGTCTTTATTCATCCAGGGTGTCTCATTGTTATTTAGCTTTGTCTTACTTTTCAGCAGAATATATTTCTCCTGGACTCTATCGATCACTGTTTTAAATGTTTCCCACTGTTGCTCTATCCCTTTGTTTGTCAATATTGTTTTCCAGTTTATTTTCCCAAGTTCCATTCCCACCCCCTTAAAATCAGCTTTTTTCCAATCTATTACCCGGTCTTTGTCATACTCGTGTCCTTCTCAATCTTTATCTTAAACCTTATTAAGTTATGATCGTTATTGCCTAGATGTTCCCAAACGCGTACTTTTCTTATCTGCCTCTGGTTCATTTCCCATTACTAAATCCAGCAGGGATTCCCCCTTGTTGGGCCGCTTACATACTGGGTAAGAAAGGAGTCCTGTACACATTATTGAAGGAACTCCATTCCCTTATCCCCTTTACCTACCTCTTCTAGCCAATTTATTCCCCCATGAATATTAAATATGTCTTTTACTCATTTCCCTAATTCGCTTGCATATTTCTTCCTTTACCTCCCTTCCACTATTAGGTGGTCTGTAGATATTAAAACTATGCCCTCTTGTTCTAAGCCCCCCTTGACCCCAAGACACAACCTTTTCCTGTCCGCTCTAAGCCCCCCGACTCCCATTATCTTGTATACCTAAAAGCTTAGATTGCTTCCAAATTCGTACAGATTATGCAAGGAACCTGTGAACCTTACAAAGAGTATTTTCAATGAAATGGCTACTTACCACCGGCGACCATCCTGAGCCGCTCTGATGCACCTGCAAGGATGGGGAAGAGAGATGTGAATAAACCCTAGGTTAGTATACCTAACAGATGTAGGTGGGATTAATGCCACTTTACTGTAACGCATATTGCTGAGTTGTGGGTAAGACCAGGTGACCATATTACTGCTTATCCAGATCCAGGAGCCAGGACACTGTGTCACAGAGCTGTGAACTGGTAGATTGCATTAACCTGGTGATGCCCAAGATTTCTCACATGCTGGTTTCCATCTGTAAGTACTGCCATGCTCTGTAAAGCTCTTGTGACCTCAACACTGTCCTGTAGCTCATTAGTTAGAGCACTCGCCTCGCAAGCGAGAGAACTTGGGATTCAATTCCCAGGCAGGGCGAAACGTTGGGCAAGTTTCATTACTCTACACGCCTCTATTAACCTAGCTGTAAGTAGAAACCCGGTTGTTAGTCGATTGGCGGATCGCTTTTCTGGGGGTAATAATCCCTTCAGAGCAATATATAAATTTTAAAAAAACAATAATTTGGTCACTCAATCCACGACCGTTTATGAGACACTACTGTGCAAAATTGGCTGACGCCTTTCTCCCACAAAATATCCAGTCAATTCACTTTACAGTACATTCTGTGAAATGCTTTGAGACGTCTCGAAGAGGTGATAAGGCGTTGTATCAAATGTAAGGATTATTTATTATTATAACACCTTTTCCTTCAGTAGTTGTCAGCCTGCCTCAGTATGTAGCACTCTCACCAAGCAGAAAATTATGGGTTCAGTCCAGGCTGACACTCCGGTGCAGTACTGGGGAGAGGGTTGTGCCTCTATATCAATCGGTTATTATGTGAGTGTCGGATACACAGACAGACAGGCACGCACTGTCTTTATTAGTATGAAAGGTGCTTTTGGAGCAGTTGCGGTACTGCACACGTACACATGGTGGTGGTGTTGAGTTACCAGTGTCCAAACACGTGCACTGAATGGAATGCACAGAAACATGAATGAGCGAAATGTCCTTTTTACCAACAACAACAACAAGATTGCATTTATAGAGCGCCTTTCACGTCGGGAGGACGTCCCAAGGCGCTGAACAGTTGGGTCGGGACCCGAGCAGGGGGGAAATGGTCAGGGTGAGGGGAGGGAAGGGAGGGAGCGAGGAGGGGGAAATGGTCAGGGTGAGGGAAGGGAGGGAGCGAGGAGGGGGGAAATGGTCAGGGTGAGGGGAAGGGAGGGAGGGAGGGAGGAGGGGGTAGAGAGTCGAGAGGGGAGCTGAAGGCTCGGTCAAAGAGAAAGGTCTTGAGACCGGCCTTGAAGGAGGAAAGGGAGGAAGCGGCGAAGGCACTGGGGATAGATTTCCAGAGCCTCGGGGCTGAGAGGCTGAAGGCCCGGCCACCGATGGTAGGGCGGTTGGGGCGGGGCATGTGGAGCAGACCGGAGCCAGAGGAACGGAGGGTACGGGCAGGTAAGTAGGAGGATAGTAGGTCGGAGAGGTAGGAGGGAGCGAGGCCGTGAATGGCCTTGTAGGTGAGGATGAGGATCTTGAATTTGATCCTCTGGGGGATGGGGAGCCAGTGGAGGCGATCGAGGGCGAGGGTGGGAGTGATGTGGTCGCGGTGTCTGGTGCGGGACAGTACACGAGCTGCAGAGGTCTGAATGACCTGCAGTGTGGAGGGAGGGCCGGGAAGGCCGGCGAGGAGAGAGTTCCCATAGTCCAGCCTTGAGGTGATAAACCAAGTAAACTCCCTTAAAGTCAATTAGCCCCGTTTCAAACAAGAACTTCAGGACCGACAACTTTGGAGCAAGTCCGAGACAATATTTAAAAATGCAAATATACTTGCATTTGATACCTTGCCTTATTGTTTCGTCCGGACATCTCAAATATTGTATAGGCAAAACACAGCGGCCAATTTGCAATACAGCAATTTTCCACAAACAGCCATGAACAACAACAAAATTCCAGGACGAAATGAGGACGTCCCAAGGTGTTGGACAATCAGTGTTTCAGACCTGAGTTATGGGGGTTGCGATCGGGGAGGGTGGTGGGCAAGCAGGGGAAGGAGGGTGACTGAAGACACAGTCGAAGAGGAGGGTCTTGAGACAGACCTTGAGGAAGGCAAAAGAGGGGGCGAGGCGGAGGGACTGCGGGATGGAATTCCAGAGGGTGAGGGTAGAGTGGCTGAAGGCCCGTCCGCCGGGTGAGGCGGGGAACCTAAAGCAGGCCGGAGCCCACTGAGTGGAGGGAGTGGGCAGGTTGGTAGGGGGTTAGGAGGTCACAGAGGTAGGAGGTAGCGAGGTCATGGCTATATAAATGCAAGTTGTTGTTGTTATCGATCGGCCAGCTTTCAGCCATTCTCCGTTACCCTCTGGAACTCCATCCAAGAGTCCCTTTGCCTCGCCTCCTCCCTCCGTTACAGTAAGTCTTGAAACATTTCTTTTCAAACGTGCTTTTGGTTAACTCCCCCACCCCCCCAGCCCACAGCCTGGGATCCCCCCACCCCCACCCCCAACCCCACCCGCGGCTGTGGCTCCATTTGGTTTTGTCAAACGCTTTTAAGCATTTTAATGGGAGAACATACAAACCAGAGTGCCTGGCGCACATTCAAATCAATCCATCAGAGCAGGAATGTCTGAAGTTCAATTTTAAACTCTGTTATAATTACACAGCGATTACACAATCCATGGTCTACAGCCTTCATGCAAATCTCCTTATATAAGAACAAACCATCTCTTCTGTGAAGATCTTTCAATCAAGTCTCTCTCACTCTCTCTCCAAAATACAGCAAAGCAACAGTATCTGCCCTTTGCTATTATTATTATGATTATTATTTGTGCATCACTGTTCAGCAATTACTTTGGCGGCTGGTTTGCTCAAGCCACATTAAGAAACTAACCCGTGAAACTAATCAGATGACCCTATTATGAAATAACATGGCAACAGAAATCCTAGTATGACTGGTTTAACTCCTTCAATGGGCAAATGATTAAGAATTCACAATAAAAGGGGTCTTCCACAAAAAGGATCAACCCTGAGCACATTAGTCACTGATCATTGTTACATTTGACCCCACCCGGTCATGTCCCATTCAGGCTTTACCAGCAGATGTATTAAAGTGAGAGGTGTGTTACTGAAAGCTGTCAGCGTGAGTTAACATGATTGTTCTGATACCCAATCCTACTCTGGAAAATAACATAAAAGATGGAATACTCTTTTAATACCCAACTAGATTGTTATAACGCCACCCAATTGACTACTTCCTAACACACACTTACAAATCATCCCTTCTTATCTGTTATCCCCGATCTTTCACCCCCACCCCCCCAATCATACCTGTTCTCCTTCTAGGCCCACGATTTTGGGGATTGAGGGTCCACAGATGTCAACGTCTAGCAAAGCCACCTGTAAAGAAAATAATGAGATAATATAATAATCCCTGCATTTCCTATAGCACCTTATCATGTCATCGAGACATCGCAAAATATTTCACAAGTTTTTTCAGTGAAGTGTAGTTGTAATTGTTGGGTGAATGGGGACTGAGCCAGGCTGGCACACTATGAAACAGAATGAAACATCATCCGATTTCCAAACAGAAACGCCTATTCAGAGTGTCTCGGTTTCAATGAATATTTTAATCTCTTTGCAGAGAGAACAATTATACTTGCTAAAACCACCAGCGAGTTCTCTCATTCGGTTGCATTATCCTGGCCACAGGCAAAACAGGCTGCAACCCATCGTTACTCAGCACTAAAGCTATCAGTCAGTACAATCCACAGAACAGCAGGGGACCTGCCCACCACAAGAGGATCATTAGCGCAAACAGATTCATCGCCGAGCACCTTATCGCAGAACACTGTGTGAACATACACAATTATTTAACATGTGATACTTAATCAATTTCCAGTACAATACAATTTACAAATGTGCAGCTCCAGCATTCCATTGTTGAGCCATTGTTTCCGGAGTTTGTTGGAATATATTAATAATACAGTATAATAATCCCTGCATTTGATATAGTGCCTTATCACGTTTTCTAGACGTCTCAAAGCGCTTCACAAAGTGTACTGTAAAGTGAATTGGCTGTATATTTGTGGGTGAAACGCGGCAGCCAATTGTGCACAACCATGTCCCAATGTCCTAATAGAAATAATCCTTGCATTTGATATATACACCTTGGAGACGTCTCAAAAAATGGAATAAACACCAATTTAATTTTTTTGTAACGGGTGTTTTATTGGCGTTTATCGGTTAAAAGCCCTAACTATAATGCCTAATGTTAATTATATAACCTTAATGTTAAAGGAAGCTACCATTTTCAATCCCTTAATTTACGGCTGGCTGCTAGAACCTATTGTAATTAACGCTTGCATTTGATCCAGCGCATTGCACATCGGGAGGATGGCTCAAAAGCGCATCACAGGATTTACAGTCAAGTGTAGTGATTGTGTGTTCTGTAGGCTGACTATTCTCAGTGCCGAGGAGGTTGATGATCCATCCTCTACTTGGTATTGGTTTAAAAGGATCCGCTCTCAAATCAACTCCACTATTCGTTCATCATATAATCACAAGGCTGAAATACATGCTCTTACCACGAGCAGATAATGGCTGTTGTTGTGATTTAGGTGGGAGTCGGGTTCACTAGCTAGTCTCAGCCTGCTCAGGACCTATCAAAGTGAAATCGCCTTTGAGATGAGCTGATCCCTCCACCTGTTGTTTCCTCAACTCAAGCTCTGCAGCCATCACAGAAGGAACGTGATTGCTGCAACACAAAAAATGTTCAGCCAAGTCAGTACTTGAAAGTGTACGTGCCCAAGTACTGACTTGGCTGAACATTTTTTGTATTCAAGCTCTCTCTCTATTTCTCTACTCCATTTTGTTCGTACACTCAGTTTACTCACGTGGTTGACAATAAGGGTTTCTTTGAACAAAAAAAACTAAGAGAATAAAACATGTGTTTTTTTGTCACTTTACTGACTTCAGCAAAGGAGACATCCTCCCCATGTGAAAGGCACTGTATAAATGCAATTTGTTGTTGTTCACCCTGTAGACTGGATATATTTAAGTCGATTGATATGTCACGGAAATTCAGCAGACAATTGTTCACAGCAGTGTCCCACATATAGCCATGGATTGAGTGAGCAAATTATTATGATTATTTTTCTTTTGTTTTCGAAGGGATTATTACCCCTGGAAAGCGATCCACCAATCGACCAACAACTGGGTTCCTACTTACTGCTAGGTAAACAGAGGCGTGTGGAGTAAGGTTTCGCCCAGCCCGGGAATTGAACCCGGGTCCTCTCTCGCTTGAGAGGCGAGTGCTCTACCCATTATGCTACAGGACTTCAATATGTCCTGGTTTGCAGATAAAACAGGACACAGTCAGCCTTAGAATTACTTTACAGTCTATTCTGTGAAGCGCTTTGAGGTGTCGAGAAGGCGTGAAAAGCGCTATATCAAATGCAAGGATTTATTATTTATTTTTATTATTACTACAGTGTTCGCTATAACTGGATTGGACATACCTTCAGGGACTGTAATTTTTTAAAACCCAGGGTAATTGCCTGTTTACAGGACTGCGCAACATTAAAGCATTTGCTTAATGTTTCAACAGGGAAGCAATGAGTGCACCAAACTGCAAGGTGTGGTACAAGGTGTGGAGTCCAGTAGAGTAGTAATTAGTGCACTAGCCTCTTAAGTGAGAGGACCCGGGTTTGATTCCCAGATGGTTTCATTACTCCACATGCCTCTGTTTACCTAACAGTAAGTAGGGACCCTGTTGTGAATCGATTAATAGATCGCATTCCGGGCTTAATGATCCCTCAAAACGAAATTGATCACTCAATCCTCCTAGGAGAGCCGAAAGGCAGAGACAACGAGAAAACTCAATGCAATTCAGGGAGGTAAGGGTTTACCTGGAAGTTTCTTTCTAGGCTCCGAAGGGCAGCCAGGCAAGCTCAGGGTTAGGGTTTTAGTTTGATTATTGCTCATCAGCGGGGAAGCTGCAAGCGGGATGTGGTCAGCGCCATGAATGGGCAGCCGTCTCGAAGGCATGATAAGGCGCTATATCAAATGCAAGGATTATTATACCCCTATAGTTTACTCTTTTGTAGATATTCATCTAGTTCCCTTTTGAAAGCTAATATAGATTCTGCCTCAACCGCCACACCCGGCATGGCATTCCATACCCAAACTGCTCTGTGTGTGAAAAACATTTCTCCTAACCTCCCCATTTGCCCGTTTACTAACAATCTTAAAATGATGCCTTCTAGCCACTGACTCACTCTCCCTTTTTGCTCTATTCCTTCATTCCCTCAGGTCGCTCAGCTCCGAACCAACATTAAAATAATTCAAAATGGACATCAATTTTAATTTGAAACAGAAACCACACTGAATTGATAACTCTGAGAAAGCAGCTCCCTTCAATGTGTTGCCTTCTGTGTTTGTGAGCCCTGGGGCAAGGATGGATTCTCACTGAGGTGTCGTAATAGATAGCCCCCCCCACCGCCTCCCCCCAGGCCCAGATTATTTAAATCAGCAACAATAAAGCAGGCATTTGGTGCAAACAAACACTATAATAAACATAAATAAACACTGAGACTATAAGATCAAACATACAACTTCTGTGGAAAAACATCTGAGCTGAACTGATATTAAAATGGTGTCACAATGGTGGGATACAATACAATTAGCGATTCAAAAATATTTTGCCCTTTGGCAAGAGGTAATTAAAAGTTATTTCTGACAAGGCGTGCAGACACTAGTTCTCTTCAGACCTATTTGGTGGGGAACGCTAAAACATATACATCACTGTCAGCAAATCTGTGCGAAGGATGCGTTCTCTTATTGTGCAATTGAAATAATAATCCTTGCAACTAATACACGCCTCTCACATCAGGACTCCTCAAAGCACTTCACAGAATTTACTGTAAAGTCCAGTGACTGTGTATTTGTGGGCGAACATGCCAGCCAATTTGAATGCACCAATGTGATGGGCCGAATGACCTCCTTCTATGCTGTATAATTCTACAATTCTATCTCCCACAGACAGCGGCTAATGAAGCAAATCGATAATTTTATCTGGGGGGATTATTGGCCAGGACATTGGGAGACACTCTCTTTTCGAATGAGGCTATGGGATCTTCAACATCTACGTGAGCAGGCAGCTGGGACCTTTTAATTAACACCTCAAATAAAGGGTGGCACCTCCGATAATGCAACAGCCTCCAAAACTGCATTGGAGCATCAGCTTAGACTGTAAGGCTCGTTCTCTGCGGTAGATTTCTGCAATCATATTCCTTTATGGGGTTTTACCATTCAACCAGTGTTCTCGTCTGTATCATTTTCCACTTGGCTGATGTCAGATAGACAATTTGAGGAGTTTCTCTCTCCCAGTGTTCTGGCCAACAATCCCCCCAGATAAAATTGTCCATTTGCTTCAATTAATAAACGATTGTGGGACGCTGCGGTGCGCACATTGGCTGTTACGATTTTCCAACGTAATACACTACACTTCACAGTGAATCCTGTGAAGCGGTTTGAGATGTTTCAGCAATGTTTAAGTCGCTGTACCAAATGTAAACGTTATAAGTTGTTATTGGTGCCATTATTGGAAGCGCTCTGGGACATTCCCCCATGTGAAGGGCGCTATATAAATGTAAGTTATTATCGTTAAGGTTTAGAAGAGTTGACGATAAAATGTGGAGTCCTGTAGCTCAGTGGTTAGAGCACTCGCTTTGCAAGTGAGAGACCTGAGTTCAATACCAGGCAGAGGGCGAAACCTTGGGCAAGTTTCCTTACTCCACACAGAGCCTAATAATAATCCCTCCAAAACCAAAAACAATAATAAATTGGTCATTTTCAATCTACGACTGTTTGTGGGACATTGCTGTGCGCAATTGGCTGCCGCGTTCGCCCACAAATATACAGTCAATTCACTTTACAGTGTGTTCTGTGAAGCGCTTTGGGACGTCCTCCCGACGTGAAAAGCGCTATATCAAATGCAAGGATTATTATTATTATTATTAAAATGCTCAAAACGTTTATTTTTGACAGTTTCTCCCGTCTCACATATTTATGACATACTCGTGTTTATGTGCTGCATTCAGATATGTGGTTAGAATAGCTGCAAGAGGGTGGGACGCAGGGATGTAAGCGAACAGGAAGTAGGTTTAAAGGTATCTTTATCTACTTAATAATAGTAACAATTCAGATGAATACACGTCCCTTTAATTAGTTACTCATTGTGAAAATAGTATGATCAAAGAAACACTGACAGAAACAGTGCAGCTGTACAGTAGACAGAAAAACATTGTTTGAATAACTAAATTGATGTAAAATCTAGATTTTATGGCTACTGTACCAGGTGCATTGCTTGTAATTCTAGAATAGACTGGAATGTTAGG